CAAGAGGTCTCATGCAGCCCGTAACTTCAGCTGCAGGACTCATCCTCTGAAACAGAAACACCCTGAGAAGGAGAATCTGGTGTGGATCTGCCTGAACTGTGCTTGAAAGGAGTCAGCACAAAGATAAAATACTAGTTTTTTGTTTAATCTGATTCTGTGCAAAAACTAATAATCCACCAAAATAAATGCTGTAGCTAATCTTTGACATATCCAAGACTGTGATAAAAAAAAGCTGACCCCCCCAACATTTATTATATGGAAAATAACTGCCTTTTTGTGCATGTTTTTCATAGAAAACTCGAATTCATGTTTTCAAACTGGCTGTTAAAGGGTTAAAATCCTGAACATTATTTGGTATTTTTGATCAGGACTGAAGTTGATTGAAAGATTTAACCCCAAAAAGTTTTTAAAAATATTAATCTGTAATCATTTTATAGCAGTTTTTGGAAGTGGACATTTTTGTCCCGAATGACTAATGTGTGAGTTTTTTGTTTAATCTAATTTTGTGCAAAAACTAATAATGCAAAAAAAACAATGTTGTTGCTAATCTTTGACATATCCAAGACTGTTATAAAAAAAAGAGCCATCCCCAGATATGTATTTTATGGAAAATAACTAATTTTCTCTGTTTTTATCATGAAAAAAACAGCGGTTTCATGTATTCAAAATGGGATTTAAATGGTTAAAATCCTGAAATTGATTACATTTTTTTAAATTAATATTAAGGCTGAAGTTGCTTTAAAGATTGAACGCAAAAAAGTTGTGAAAAAAACCTTTTAATATAATGTTTTTATCAAAGTATTTTGCAGTGGACATTTTTTTCCCGAATGACTAAATGTGCGTAGTCCAATCGAATGATACCGGAGGGTTAAACTCTGCCAACATTTATCATGTCAACAAACAACTGATCGCATCAGTTGAGCGAGCGCTGCTGTTGACAGATGCTGAGAGAAGCAGGGCTGTGATTGGACCGTCGCGGTGGGTGTTTCCGCATTCCGCGCAGAGCTGTCGGCTGAAGTTGGAGCGAGGACCGTCGCGTGAAGAAAGCCTTCTCCAGTGATTCCCAGAGGAATAGCGGTCCATCGCCCGGAAGCAGACATGCCTTACATGTTCATCAGTACGCAGATCAGACTGGTGTGTATCTCGCATCTGTAAAATGACTCGTGTCGTTATTTTAGATTTGTTTATTTTGCAGAGAAATGTAGCGCTAATCAATCAGGGTGTATATAGTTATGCAGTCGTCTGTTCCGTTCTGCAAACAACAAACAGTCAAGACTACAAGCTGAGCAAGCACCGTGCGTATGGTTGTGTTATTTTCTGCCATGGTGCACTAAATGAAAAACACATGTTGCCCAGGGTTCGGCCTCTTGTTGCGCATGTTCATGTTGTTGTCTGCAAGACTCGAGCAGCCTAATTCTAAATCCTCTGAGAATCTGATGATCTATTTTTAGTCCGTCCATTTATTAGAGATTACGATCTGCACCTGCCAGAGGGCTGCAGGTGCACCAAGAGCTGCACAAACAACTGATATTGTTTTAGCAAAGCAAAAATGTTTCTCAATCTGCACAGTTAATGTTGTTGAATTATTCTTACAGGAGACTGGTCCAACTAACGTGGGGGATGAATATTCGGATCCAGCTCTCATGAACTACCTGGGAGCAAGGAAAACGACCATGCTGGGAAACAATTTGTGAGTATTTTAATGGGTTGACACGATGTAAAAATGGCAGGTAACTAGTACATTGGGTAAGATCTGAAGATAGAAAGTAAGCAAGGAGATTTGCAGGCATTGTTTGTCTTACAAAAGCACCAAAAGGGTGGAGTATTTCGATTCTATGACAATATCTCCTCTAACATCCCACAAACAGGAAATGAGAACTCTAACGGAACTCCCAGGGATACTGTGGATGTACTCACACTGGGCCATATTTCCATATTTAGGTACTTAACACTAATTTTGGCAGTTAACGGGTACATATTGGCGACAGAGCTGAGATCAGGTCACATGAAGGAGAAAAAAAACCTCCCAATGTGGTTGAGGAACGCTGCTGCTTTGCAGATTTAGAGTAAATCATTCAAGCTGATAGAATAAAGATCAGGGAAATGTTGTCATTGGCAATCTGATTCAAATAATGCTGGGAAATGAACCAAGGTGTGGAAGGAAGTGAACAAGCATCAGAACAATTAACACTGTTCTACTTTCCAAGCGAAGTTTACTAAAAGACAGAGAAATCCCACATCTGTGAAAAGTAGAATGACTTTGTGTTTATGGTCATTTAGTGCCGAGTACCATGTGGACGACCCGCCTCGCCTGGTGTTGGACAAACTGGAGAAGATGGGGTTCCGCGTGCAGGCCATGACGGGGGTGGGACAGACGCTGGTGTGGTGCCTGCACAAGGAGACGGAGTGATCGGTCATGGTGCGAGGGTTGGCTGTATCATAATGCCTCCAGAAGAACAAATGTGAAGAACTTATTTTTTAAACGTTGGCTCTACATTGAACACGACGACAGCTCAAAATCAGCCTTCTGTCAAGTGAAAATAAAGTCCTAAAAAGGAGATCATCTCAGACGTAAGGTTTCAGATTACCTTAAAGAGGTGAACAACTTCCGGGTAAAACTAAACTACATTCCAGACCTTTTGCCTATTGTTTGCTGTCTACTACTGGTGACCAAATGGGATTGTTAGGGAGTTTAAGTGTTTGCTAAATCATATGGCAGTACAACTTAATAAAGCATGTCTCTAATTTATGCCTGTACAAAAGACCTCACCCAGTTCTCCCTGTTTTCTGTCCAATAAATTAAACCCTACTCCAGATAGAGGATTATACTTGCAGCACTGTGTAAAGATGTTTTTGTAAGTTTATCATATGCTTATGATTAAAATGATGTAATGATGCATATTGATTGTAAACTTATGAATAAAAGAAAACAATCCTGTTGCAAAGGATACATGCCTCTGACGATAATTTAGACATGAGATAAAAAGTGATGCTCTCGTTGTGAGCTATCGCCGCTCTGTGACACCTTACAGGGATGCTTCATGCCCAAAGATGAGGCACTAGCTCTGCAGCGAAACACAGGGTGTGGGTTATTGAGCTAGTGGGCGCCAGATATCTCAGGGTGGTTTCAGTACAGCCCCCAGGTCTGATAGCATATGTCTGTGGCCAGCCCGGATCAATAACCCGCAGACCAGAAACTCTGCCAGTCAAACTCTTAACAGTCCTGCTGCCTCACACATGACTTAGCTTCAACCTCCGCAATGAAGATCAAAAATGTTCTGGTGCTTCCCAGTTGTGTGACGGCGGAGAATCCAGATGCTGTGTGCAGATGCCGGCGTGACAGCCTCGACAATATGAGGGAAAACGGAGCAGAAGGAGATGCTGTGAAGATTCCCAGGCTGTGCTGTAATTGTTGATAGGACGGAGCACACACCAGGCTCATCCTCCCATCCTGCTTTGCATGCAGCACAAGCCACTGTGGGCTCAGGGCAGGGTTGGTGGTGAATGTGTTTCCTGTAATTGTATTTCCTCTGCTGTCATTTGGACAGAGTTTGTGTGTTTCCGGGATTTCTTTTCATATTGCCTAGATTTGAAAAAGACCACGCATAAACAAAACCATGTGATGAGGGGATTTTGCAGGAGGAGAGGAGCAGATGTCTCCGACCACACTGCTCCACAGCTGGACATTGTGTAACACAGCCATGGTGAGGCAGAACAGGAGTGGTGGGAAGATGAATAGCTGGGTTAGATCGGTGCAAAAAAAGCTGCCATATGGCCCCCTAAATAACACAATGACAAGAGAAAGCGCAGCCACACAGACCCAACAAATACAGACACGGCATTACAACATAGTCCCCCGAGGGACAGGAAAATAAGACTGTTTGGACGGATAGTTGTTCCACAGGCAGAAGACCGAAACTGGGGGTGACCGCAACAGTTTGGCACTGAAACGTCTGACTCAATGTGGGTCACAGAGCGGTAGAGTGTCACTGCGGAGAGTATAAATAAGCAATATAGAGTATCTTCTTGGTATCGGTTACGCAAGCCTATTATGGAACAGCGTATAAATGAATAACTTAACTTAGAGAAAATATCATAGGAAAGGAACAGTTTTTGAAGCAAGAGGCATGTTTTCAATTCAATCTGTTCATTGGACACCAAGTACCTTACATTTTTCTGCAATAATATGCATGATGGAAAAATGGATGCTCATGTTCTGCTTATGATTCCTGTAGCCGTTATCACACGGTAGAATTTCAGAGATCATTCCAGGATTCATAACGAAAAGCTTTTCAGTGATTAAAGCAATGGCTCTTTGCTGAGTTAGATGAGAAGATCGATACTACTCTCATGGTTGTCCTTTCGATTTGAATCCTGAGCCCACATGTGGTTGTGTGTGGGGGGGGGGGTTATGTGCCAGACAATTGCTTGGCCGAGAGCAGTGACTTCTCTGGTAGTTGCCTTTCAACCTCACGGTGACAAGACTCCAGAAAAACCACCTTTCCCTGCCAAGAAAGAGTTCAGCACCTCACCGCGTGTAAAATGTGTTGTTTGGATTGTGTGGTTTTGGGACAGATTAAACAAACTAAACTTATTTTCTTTCTGACTGTCAAACGGACCTGAGCGAGCTGTCTGGTGGGAGGCGTGGGTTCTGCGTTGGTGTTCGGATCAGGGGGGTCACAGGTTCAAACCCCACTGCAGTCAGCATGTCGTTGTGTCCCTGAGACACTTCACTCCACATTGCTCCTGTGGGGAGTGCCCACAGTATTGAGTATGTAAGTCGCTTTGGATAAAAGCGTCTAACAAGTGACATGTAATGTAATGTTTCTCCATGCTTGCAGGTTTTTAAGTTAAACGTAATGTCTTGTAGTGTGTTAAGCTTCATTGGAATGTATTACTTTTATGACTAGAAAGAATATCCCCACAATCTTTAGAAAAACAAATATGAGTATGTGGAGGTTTAATGGAATACATTTAAATGAAACATCTGTTTATCTCAGTTTATTGCAGCAAAGTCAACAGAATAGATTTTGTAACCATCTGAAACAGATGGAACCGCAAACGCAATACATGCTGCAGGCTTGTACTCTTTATTTTGAACAAAAAGACCAATTTACAATTAAAATATATACACGCAATAGTGTGCAGTACTGAGTCCTCCCTGCAGCCTGAGCATTATGATCCTACCTCTGGGTCACCACTGCAGCAGCTCTTACTTCTTCTCTACTCTGTCTCTCTGTCATCCTACGTTCTTATCAAAGGAAAAAAACATGACACGTCGATTAGAACCACAGATTTTAAAATGTTGATTTTTAGTCATTAAAAATATTTATTTTTTAACATAGTGTATTGCATACAAAAAACAAAAACAAAATAATTAAAAGGCTTTATGAAACTAAAGCCTAAAACAGGTATTGATGGATTTGTTGCAGGCTGGTTCCGAGCTGTGCCGTGACTAGGCTTCATCATCGTCTTCCTTCTGGATTTGTTCTATGAGCTTCTGTCGCTCAGCCGCCTGTCTCATCTTCATCATCACCACGCTCTCATAGTCGCGCTCATTTGACAGTTGACCCTGTAGAAGGGAGACAGAGGGAGGGGGGGTTATTATACCATGGAAAATGTAATAAAGAGCACATTTCATCTGAAAGAACACATTATAGTCAACATTGGATTCCTTTCTGTCTGTGAATTCAGACACAATGAGGCTGTGATGTAACAATTGTAGCCTAAGCATTCATGGTGTTATAGGATAAATATTGATTTGTTGTCTCTGAGCCAAAGCCGAGAAAACCCAGAAGACATGACATCAACTGTGTTCACAGGGTGTGTAGAACTGCCCATGTGTAAATTGATCAACGAGTGTACACTTTGCGCAGTAGCCCTTTAATCAATATTTAAAGAACATTTCCACTGATGCATTTCACTGGAAGGGAATCAGAGAAAAGTGAAACATTCCTGTATTTTATATCATGACAACATCGACTCGGGGCAGCACACGAATGACACCACTGTCACCGTCTGTTGTCTGTTTGCTTTCACGACAGGGTCTGTGGGCGCCCGGCGGAGGAGAGGGCGGCTCGATGGATGCTCTCATCTCTGTAACCATCGCCATGACGGCAGGGTGAACATGTATGAGACAGCAGCCCGCAGAGCAACTGTGACAGGGTAATTCCGCTGCCTGAGGTCATTAAACCCCAAAATGCGGGCTTGGATTAAGCCTGGCAGTCGCCCGGCCTCTTACTGTGTTTGTGTGATTTCTTTGAAGGGCCTCATTTTGGCCGACGATGGCGACGGATTATCTTACTCTGGGGGGGGGGGGAGGAATCGGAGAGGGCAGCCACTGGCTAATGGCTAATCAAGCAGGGTGGAACACCAGACGTCTTACACACAAACACACAGGTCACGATCTATGCGGTAACACATCCAGAAACAAGACAGATGGACTCTTTTTTAAATATGCACCTAGGAATGATGCATAAAAAACACAAACATACACACTCACAGAGGCCATCATTCCTATTTTTAAAGTGGAGGGAGGCCATGTGTCCACAGAGTAGGCCATTGTTTTGGAGGATTATATCCATGAAGTCTGCACGGCCAAGGAAGTGTCTCTTTAACAAGACAGTGAGAGAGAGAGTGAGTGTGTGCATGAAGGACTGAAGGAGCGATTTGAGCAGGAGAGGTAGGTTCCTGTCAGTGCGCTAGCCGAGCATCTGGAAAACATCACAGGGACTCCAGCATCTATGTGCTTAGAGAAAGAGGGTAAGTATGGAGGAAGAAGAGAGGAGAGGGTCGGTGAGGGGAAGTTACACACCCCCCCCCCACTCCACCCCTGGATTGAGGAAAGCTGCGATTATCATTCCAGTAATGTGAGCTCAAGCCCTTGTCTGACACGTAACTCTGAAATATCACGCGAGCACCATTAGGTAAATAAACAAGTCTTGCATCTTCCAATTAAACAAAAACACAAGCAAATATACATGCAAGCCGCTGAGCTCTTTTTCAGGAGCTCCACTCTGCCCTGCCCTCTACTGGCCGCTACGCTGAAGTGCATGGGGAGAAATGTCACGATTGGGAAGAGAGTACTCAGTTCCCAATGTGGTCAAGGGCGGCTTGTACCATGCTGATGACTTAGGGGGAATTCTGAGCATTAGCAGGTGCTTTATGGGCAGCGTGACACATCTCTTCTCAGGATGAGGCCCGTTTCCTTGCCTGAGGTGTTGTTAGTTTATGTACATGTTTAGCCACTGCATCACCCTATAACTAAAAACTTGGTTGTGTACGTATATGTGCGTGTTGCAGTAACACTGGGGCCCAGGGTGAGGAGGAAACCGCAGAACACAAACAATGGGGCCCCCTTACAAAGCCAGGAGAGCGGGGCACAAGGCCACCACAGAGGTAGGATAGTAGTAAAACACACACACGCACACAAACAAGCTGAGGATTAGCTGTGTGTGACATCAGCGCATGGCCAGGCCTCCAACCAGCACACCCCAGCCTGACCGCGGGCCAGAAATGACATCACGAATACCACCAGTGCTGTGAGTCAGGCAGTTTAACACACACGCGTACACACACACACACTCTCTCACACTCCTTCCCACACACAGCAGGAGGCATCTCTCAGCGCAGGTGGCCACTGTGTTCCCCCGGCACGAGTTGTCAGATCAGCTGCACATTACACCATTCCTCAATGTGCGTTTGGGTGAGATGTGTGTGTGAGAGTGGAAGCGTGTGAGCACGAGTCAATGTGTACTTGAGGAAACAAGTGTGTGTGAATGCCCTAGAGAAGGGACGAGTGTGGACTAGGGTGGATGTAAGATATCGCTATCAGTACAAAAAAGAAAACGGAAACGTTTTTCTGTCAACTCTTACTAGCATGAGAAGGAGTTTCTGACTCTAAAAGTAGTTTTTACGGAAAAACATATATATATATGAACACAAATGTAAGATCCAGTATGAGGAGTTTAAAGGCCAGGCATAAGGGAAAGAATGAAAGGAGATTAATATTTCTTTTTTAGACTTCCAGGCGAGGTAAAGAAGGATTTATTTCTTTATATATGAAAAAAAACTCATTTGGAGAATAAGGTAGAAATATCAATAATCTATCTATTACGAGCGTTAGTGCATCAACTAAAACGTTTACTTTCACCAAAATATAAATTGTGTATATGATGTTTTCCTTCTTTAAAATGTCCCTTATACTCTTCCAAACTAAAACACCAGGACAAAGATTTCCGAAATCGGGGTTAGGCTCTTGTGGCTGTTGTGCATATTCTTCACATCATTTACATTCTCATCAAAACCATCCCCTCGTGCCCTACATCCATTATGTTTCCTCACTCATTTATTCTGGTTAGGTATTTAATTTGTTGCATACACAAAGATCCCGACAGCTGACATCACTTTCCTGTTACTGTGCTATTGATGCACCTAAACGGGAGACCACACAACTTCACTGCCACACGGAAAGAGTTGACATGCAATAAGCGCAATTTTGTTTTCTTCACAATCAGATAGTATAAAGCTCATGAATATTTTGTAATGCATTGTCAGTAAACAGTGCGTCAACCCCAAGCATTATAAATGATTGTAAATGTAAATGAACACTAAGAAAAAAAGAGACTATATAAACATGCTTGTGCAGCTACTTGATACACAAGTTAAGCCACCAACGTAATAAACTGGACATTAAAAGCTTTGTGAAAATGTAATTTAAATATACTTCTCGGCGGATTGTATTGCTCCAGCCGCTGAAATTACACTGTAGTAACTTTTAAACATTATGGCGTCCCTTAACTTTGTAGCCTGAGAGGTTACCAATTTGTGTTAGATGACTGGATTACTCATTAACACCACTAACTATCAGACATCTCAAAGCCAAGAACTTCACAGACTTTGCTGCCAAGGGAAGAAATGGCTTCGTCTTCACAACCCCGCTCTGTGGTGCCGGCTAACATGCCTGCCTCTAATGCACTCTGGTGAAGTTAATCAAGGAGTTATTTATGTGAAGCGCGTGTGGTGGTGTGGTGTGTGTGTGTGTGTCACAGACCTATGGAGTAGGTGATTTATGAGAGGCGAACACTTATTTAGAAATAATTTGAGTGTGTGTCTTTGTGTGTGAGTGTGTGAGTGTGTGTGTGTGTGTGTGGGGGGGGTGGTAGCCCGAGCACTCCTGCTAACTCAAACAAACAGTCGGGTACTGCACATGCAACGCTGGAGCCAAGGTGAAATTCCTCCGCAGACAAAACTGAAGCTTTGTAAATGGTGGAGGATTAATCATCGTTCATTATAAGACTCGCAGACATAGAAACCCTGAAGGTCTGGTCTATTATAATGTTTTTGTTAGTGAAGGACAAACACTACAAGGAGATTAAGGCCCAAATGTACTTCCTGTATTTAACCCTGTGGATGCACGTGTAGTTCAAACATCTGGTTTTTGAACGGAATTCCCAGGCAAGCCCTCCTTTCGTTTGACAGCAAAAGTGTTTCTGTCTGAACAGAATGCAATCTTAGTAGATACATCTACAGATCAATGACTCTGACAATTAATGTGTATGTAAAGTGTAAAGATTTACAACCATGGGGAAAGGTATTTACTGTGTATGCTAATTTAAACAAACACAAAGTTGTGCTGCAATAAAAAAAGAGACAATGCATATTTCCTTATTTTCTCTGAGATGAAATAAAAATAACGGCAGTGGATAAGAAATTAAAAAAATTTGAGAGGATGTAGAACATTTTAGATTAGAGGCACTACAGTTCCTGGATGAACTGCTGTACAGGAAGTGATAGCTGCGTGTGGACTGTAGATAGCCAATAACACTCAAAAGTCATTCAAGGGAGAAAAACGTCAATGGATTTGAAGTGCGATGGAAGTGTGTGAGCGTCTGTGTGCACGTGTAGGCATGTGGTTGTACGTGGTCACAGTATTAAGACAGAATAGAACCCTGTTGGACGGGGAGGGAGAGAGCCTTTTGGAAGCTGTTTAAAGTTAAAGAAATAAACAGTGAAAAGAGAAATGGCAGCGAAGGCCTGAACTCCCGGTGCCCTGGCATTGCTCTTTATGATGGATGAGCTCAGGGATCCTAGAATAGGGAGATGTGGGGGTTTGGCCTCTTTAATATCCAACAATACATCGTTGTAAAAGCAAAATGATGTCTTTCACATCCTGGCCTTCCGGGAAAAGCCCTCTGATTGCAACAGACTTCTCAAAAGTGACACTGGTAAGAATGCAGTCTGAACCTTGGAGATGTCAAGAAGAACTTAAAAGGCGTTATGAGGGGAGGAAAAAAAAGAAATCAAGGTTCCAAACATAACATTTGAAATGTCTGTGCACGGGTCCTTATCTATATTATGTCGTGTTACGTGCAGAACAAACCAGCAGTGGAATGTATCCTGCTGTGTAACTGTTTACATCATACCTCCAGTCTTCAAAGTAATGTAAATATCTCAATCATGATTTTATAATTACTAATGATTCTGTGCCAGGAGACACAGCAGTACTTTCCCAGCCTTCACTGACAGAGTAAGTATGTAATGAGCTATGCATATCTACATTATTGTTTTTTTTGCTTAATCATGAAAAACACTAAGTAGAAAGCTTTATACATTGTATACGTTCAAAACCATAAATAAAGATCAACAAAAGTACGGAATTTATGTATTGAATATCACCAAATTACCATTGTATAACACTTCTTTGAGGGAGAATACTAGGGATGAATTTCAGACCCTAAGTCCACAAGAATTCCCGTAAAATTAATATTTCTCTGACGGAAAAACAGATGCTGCATTTCCTGCTTTATGCCCAATTGAACACGAAGTCCTGAACACATTTGTAAATAGTTAAAAGTGTGTGATGGTGCTAGAAAGAAAAAACAGGCACCGCAAGGTATTTATGTCTAAAACCTACGTGTAAATAATTAAGTTACTTTGTGTTTTTGTGGTATTTGGCATCAATATACATTACCTTCCCAGAAATGTATGTTTCTCCTTTGATCACCAGATCATGTTGGTTCCTCAGTTGATTAGAGGCTACTGTAAGCTTTGTCATGTGATAATGAGTCTGCACTTGATATTCAAAAAGATAACACCTGGACTTTGACTGATGTCAGATCTTTGTCATGTGGCAAATGAGAAGCAGTACTTCCTCTAAGCAGCCAGACTGCTAGACTTTTGTTGGAGCACATTCAAAAGTGCTCATACCTGAGTCATATCTTTGGAGACAAACGGTGACGACAATGGTTGGGATGGTGACACATGCTCTCACCAGAATGATTAAAGGACATGACGAAGAGTAGCTACTGGGAACTGATTTGGAAACAGATCGTCGACCCAATGGACCGTCTAGACTCATTCTTGACATACCCTTTTATAGATGTACTACAATCAAATTGTATCGCAAGTATAGTTTGTCCGATGTTTGCAATCATTTGGATAATGTTTTTCATATAAAACAATTTGACAGTTCTTGTAAATCTCGTCTAGATGCTGCTGGCAGTCTGAGGGCCTCGATACAGCGGCAGCTGAAGAATACACAACAAAGAGCCAGAAGAATATCCACCAAAGCCTCAGTTTGGGCTTCTAGCGCCAGTCAAAGCAATATCTGGAAGCACTTTTTATCCTGCAACAACAAAAAAACATGCAGCATCCCAGATTTCAGGCCCAGCATAGCTGCATCCAACCACACTGCCCGCTATGGTCAGGCCTTAGAAAAGAGGCTTATACAGAAGTTCAGCTAAGGCTTAACGTACCAGCCCTGAAACTACATAGCATGCAAACATAACTGCAGCGTGAGGCCGACCTTGGTCAGCCAGAAGGTCTTATAAGGCCATCCCAGCACTACAGATAACCTGAGCTCTTCACCCTGATTGTCTTCCAGCAGTAAAGCAGCTTTGTGATTATAGGTGGAGAAAGTATGGGGTTTCTCAGAAGAAAAATGTTTTTTAAATGTTCTGTTTCAATCTTGAGTAAATGTTATGATAATTTCATTTGCGTGAGTAATTGTGTCGGCTCTTACACACTGGTCTGGCGCTGGAGTGCAGGGCGGGAGAAGAGACGATCACACGGCCTGCCTATTGTTTATTGAGTAGTGAAAGATATTATTTGTCCATTTCCTTAACATCCTGCATGTTTAAGTCTAATGAACAAGGATAAATGGATCCACAGCCGTGTCCTCCTTTCTGTTGGAACACTATGTTGTCGAAGTTGGTTGGGAACCCAGAGCATGACTGTGTCTAAGTTTGAAAATATTCTCCTTATAAACACTGGGACTCAAGTTGAAGAATATAATATATATTTTTTTTAACTTTCCAAATCATTATGCAACCAAAATGGCATGAAGATAAATAACAATTACTCCTCGTGAGAGCACAACAAAGGGCTTTAACTCTGCCATTTTGAACACAAACAAATTCCAAAGAGCAGGGAAAAAGGTTTGCTGTTCTGACACAATTTCCATTCCTTTGTTGCTACAGCATTCATAAAGGCAAAGGCAACATGCCGGGGGCGTGAGAATTGGAAATGCAACAAGTTATCTCTCCTGTGCAACCCAGCGTGCCTGTACATACATGTCTGTGTGTCATAGTGTGCTTTGATTACACAGAGAAGCTAAAGGCCTCCAGTCAGGCAGAAGGGCCTGTGGAGCGGGCTTTAGACACGCCAGCAGCAGGCAGGAAATCAGCAAACCAGCAGCGCTCAGGGACAATGACATGGAGATTAGAGATCAGTTAACCCCCTCCACTGGGTGGCTGACCCGTTTGTTCACTGACGAAGACTTCCCTTTTAGACACAAGCACTCAATCTATGAACCACACGCAAACTGTCCTACACTCAGTAACCTATTCCAACTTGACTTCAAGCTCTCCAAATGAGTCGCGCACCGTAGTTTTTATAAACGTTTTCTGTGTTTCCCACAACTGTCCCACAGGTAATGGGTTCAGCCAATCTGACCGCAGGAATTACTTTAACACTTATGACTAAAAAGACAGCTCACTCCGCAATTAGGATGATATCATCTGACGGCTGGCAACCATTCTAAAGCGGGATGACTACAACGCAAACTAGTAAAAGCCTTAAGGGGAAAAAAGGAAGAAAAGCCTTTACCTGGAACGCTTAGCGCTCTTGTACTCTGACCTCACCTTGCTAATCTCTCAGGCAAAGAAGACTTTCAGCGGCAACACACCTGAATCACTCGATGCGAGAGGGAGTTTACACTGGAGAATATTAGCTATAAAAAAAGGGATCAAATATCCAAGGGCTGAAAAAACGTGCTTACTAGACAAAGGTAAGAGACACTCTTTAGGCATTTAAATGATACAGTTTATTGTAAAAGTTGACTTTGTGATTATGTGACTGAGGAGAAGTCACTCGGTCTGTTGTTGTGTGTCTAAGCTGCTCAGTGAGATCTTCTGCAGCCGTTGAACAAGCCCCATCATGTCGAGGATCATTTCGTCAGGGTGTGCAGGTAGACGCTGCCCATTTTCCTGACAGAGACGTGTGTGCATTTGTTGGATTCAAATATCTTGTATTTGCTCAGCAAGACAGGTAAGAACAAATTCATCTTTATCCTATTGTTTTCTAGACAAACTGCATTAAAGGAATAATCTGGAATTAGTGTTAACCCGTAGTTAAAGTTTACATTAGACAGATTTGTTGTCCGCTTCAGAGATTTATGGCAGCATTGAGGAGGATTTGTTTTAATCGTTTCTTGGCCAATCTGTTTTAATGGGGCTTCTTTCATTTTGTACTTGATCATGAAGTGTTTCCCGAACAAGATTCTCATGGCTGAAATCCTAACACTCCTCCTTGGCCAAACTGACATGTTTGGAAAGGAATGCTGTTGTGTCCACGCTCTCCAATCTCCCGCTGCTACTAAAGTGCCGATAAAACCTTTACAGGCCAACAAAACCTGTTTGCTGTAGTGGCTTACAAACGTACAGAGTGAGTGTTTCAAGTCACGAACGCAGATCTAATATGGGCCGAGCTGTTTGGGAGACTGTAAAATCACAGACACGGTGCATATTATCCAATCGACATGCCAGCGTTGATGAACCGAGTTCTGTTTTACTCAATAAAATGATTATAGGTCACGGAACGCAGAATTATGTTATTGTTTTTAGGACAAAGTAAGACTTTAAATTTAAGTGTTATTGTATTGGTTAAATGTGACCATGAATGTTTCCTTTTAAGTTTTGTTGGTGGATATAAACATTTTTATAATAACGCCAAACTACATTACAGAGCTTAGTTTGAACTGTGTTGCCTACAGTGTTGTTTATGTAATACAAGTATCTCAATTGTATTCACTTCCACATCCAGAGTCTATCTCTCACACTACAGCAAAAATAAAACAACTGAACTACAGCTATTTGTATTTTCTTTACAAAATCAGAAACATATGTTCAAATTTCTGATTCTGATTTCTGTCAGAAGTTACGGTAAACCTCATGTTCTTCCAAAAACTGAATGTGAAGAAATATGATTCACTTTAACATGCAGGATAACAACAACAACCGTTTGGGAACATGCATTTTTGTTGCTTTTGTTACGGGAAGGCATAAGAAGGCTAATAGACTTCCTTAAGAGAGTAGGCTGCAGACCACACCTGCATTCGCGGGAAGAAACAGGGATCTGAAAAAGTAAATATTTAGAAATGGAAGCTTCAAAGCATTGTTGGAACAACTCTGTACTGCCAAATAATATCAACTATATTAAATCAAAATCAAGTGGAGCAGGTGCAATCTCTTAACAATTGCTCCCGATTCACATCAAGCCGACTGGATCAGTCCAAAACTTACATCTGCTGCTACAATTACAAGCACAAGCACAGACATGCGCCATATTTTCGCATGATGTGAAGGAGGCCTGAGCGATCAAAAACGGATCTATACGTGTCAGTGTTTTTTTTATATCAAGAATGGCTGTCGTGCATGAAAAACATTTAATTGTACAATTGGGTTTATATGTTTTTTACTTGTTATCCTTACTAAGAACGAAGTGCAATCAAGTTATTAACTTTTATCATTTCTCTTCTTTTGTGTTTTGATGCAGATAGAATTATGAGCTTCATCACTTCCTAAGGAATCCTTGTCGAACAAAGAAGGATAAAGGATTTAAAGACTGAGGATATATAAAAAAAGGATAGATAAAAACATTTAGGTTTCTCTCACAGTATCTGCCAAGATGCCCCTCAGAACATCGTTGCACAGAAAGCCAGCCTCCGGTCGTTGGCCCAACAGGAACACCAAGCGCCGGGAGGTGCTTTCTGTCAACATGATCAGCCTCCCACTGGCTGATTTCCGCCACCTCTCACATATTGGCAACGATTCCCACACAGACAGCTTTGGAGATCTGGCCTTCTTAAAGATGGGCCACAATCTGCTTTTACAGAGCTCCCAGAGCGAGCAGAATCTCTTCCTGGCCTGCTCTCCCCCGCCAAAGCCCCCTCGTGTGAACCTGGAGGAGGCCGAGGGCTCCGAGAGCCCCGACTGGCATGTAGGCCGCCTGCACATGTCCCAGAAAAAAAAGATATGCAACTCTATGCCGCTGCTGGACAATGAGGATGGGGAAGCAGGGATGGAAAAGGAGGATGGGTACAAAAGAGGGAATAATATTGCTCCCAACCTGGCTCACAGCGGTGGACGGGGCAGTCTGAATTCAGACAGAGATGAAGACTCCACAGAGACTTTTGACAAAACTGTTGGACCGCAGCATAAGGAGGAGGACAGTGGCTTTTCTTTCAGCCTCGACCTGGGCCCTTCAATCCTGGATGATGTCCTCCAGGTGATGGACAAACTCCACAAATAGACAGCATAGGAGCCAGGCCGTCAGCAAGGCTTTACTAAGGTTTGGAATATGGAGAAAATATCCAATTCGGCACCCTTCTATTGGGATATGATCCGGATTTTATGGACAAAACAATACCCTAAAGCAGTTATTGTTGAAATAAATCTGGAGATTTCTGATAATACCTGGGAACCAAGTAAAGACCAAATCCTTTCGGGAGAACTTGACTCACCCATGCTTTAATGGATGTAAACTACTATTTTAAACCAAAACTGATTTACAGGATGAAAATGATGATTTCTTTTTGACTATTTCAGGAAAACATGTTTGCTTTTTGAATACGAGCACCATTGTGTCTGCACACATTGGTCCACAACATTTGTTAAACATTAATCCTTAAAAAAAATGTAAAGGGTGAAACCTAGAAATGACCCATAGTTAATGTTCTCCTAGAGTTACCCCTTGGAGAGGTGGATACAATGTTTTAGTTAATAATTGAACTCCGACGGATGTCAAATACCGAGCTGGCCATTTTCAACTCTTCTTACTTTGCTCCTTTGCTTATGTAATCTCTCAAACCACAAAGCAGAGCACTGACGACGGCTGTTAAGACTTAAGAGTGTTGTGTTTAAGAAAAGAAAAGCTGCGGCTGGAATCCAAGGTCCTCGAGCTGTGATGTCTTGGCTCTTGGCGTGCTTGCCAATCTATTGTGTGCAGAGGGCAATTTTTCCTCCGCACGCATCCCAGAGGCCCCACTCATAGGTAGACCAAGGTACCCCCCATCTCTCATTCCCAACAATGCAGTGAAAACAAACACTTAGCTCTGCTTCCAATAAAAGCCAGCCAGTGGTGGCAGGTTGGGCTGTAGACCAAGTTGGGCCACAGGTCCAAGACCTTAGATAAAAAAATAAAAAGTTGGAGTAGGCTGTTTTCTTAGCTGCAAATCAGAGTCCGATGCTCTGGTGAGTGGCGCACGAGAAGGAAAGTGGTAAAGGGTAACGTGATACTTCCACATATGCAGGGGGTGTCAAGGGAGGAGGACCAGAGACATCCATTACTGCAGCAAAAGTCCTGATGAGGGTTTAAACACTACCTTCTGACAAAACAGACCCCCGTCACGTGAAGAACGCACGCTTGAATCTCACATACGTTGGCACACAAGTATAGAGAAACACACATGTACTGTAAGCACGCATGGTCAAACTGAGATTTGTGCACACAATCTAGGTCCACTTTGCTCAGGCCTGGAGAGCTGGGACAGAGCCTCAGTCTGTGCCTTAGTGGGGGGGTTGCCAGGAAAGCCTGTGGGGCAAACCCAGAACCCGTCGCATTCCTGAGTTCCCAACGGGTCATTCTGAAAAAAATATACCAACCACAAGTGTCCCGCTTCTAGCAATAGATTTAGAATTCTATGTATGTCCAAACAGAAACAGCAACGTCTGTGGGTACGTCTGCACTGTATATCTGTTTTGCCATCTCCCATTTTAAAGTGGATATCACTGTTCATTTTTCTTTTATATGATTTGACAGTAACGCATTGTGAACGTTTTTTTTTTTTCTGGATTGAATGTACTGTTTTGTATTTTTGAGAAGTAAAGAAAGATATCTTTCGAATTCCAAGATTGGTGGTTTTGTGGGATAGAGCTGCTCGTGTCAACATTTTAACAGAGCTCGTATGAGATTGTTTACACACCCTGACGGACAGACATTTATTTGGCTTTTCATCTGTCAGAAGTCACTGAGCAGGCAATTAGGCAAGGCTAACAGTTTCTCCAGATAGCCTTGGATTATCCAACAAAGCATGCAGCACAACATTATTTCAAGGTGGAGAGACACACAAGCCCAAATTACACAGGCATGTCGAGCAGGATTTCATGTAGACTCTCAAATACCGTGTTACAGTGAACTGGACTTTAGAGCAACTGTCTGAGGCACACCTGCATCATAAAGAGGTGACATTAAATAGCTAACCAGGGTGTGTCTGTTGTTTGTCAGACTTTTCTTTACAGGCTACCTTTTCCAGATAAGCAGGGGAAAGAGACTTTCAGTTCCCAAGACTTTATATTGGACAGTGTCTGGCTGATATCATGAAAGACGATCAAAGTCTCATTGATTTGAAAGAGGCAGAAGAATTGTGAAATGTCAGATTGTCACATATTGTGAAACTAAGGGTTAAAAACGTCAAAATAAAAGAAAAAACTATAATATCAAATCATATTGGTATTCAATGCACAACAACCATTCTTGATATTCAAAAAAACATTTTAAAAGTTTTTTGAAAACCCCAAAATTCTTTACAAATTCAAATCTTGTCTTGGCTTGGCTGAAAAGGCCTTTGCTGCCATGACGACACAAGCTCTCAGTTCTAAGAATCACATAAACTTAAGCTCAACAAGTGTTTAGCCACATGACTGATGCGAGAAGAAAGAGCCTGTAATTGAGGACAAATTATCTTGTCTGCACAGCACAAACTGGCCGAGCTGTGAAGTATCCCTATCACATCTGGAACCACTTCTCTCCCTGCAGAAATCTCAACATGCCGTCATACAGAATACTGAGATATCTTGTCATCTCACTAAATAGTAGCTCTTATGAGTTGTTAATTTTGTCAGGTACAAACTAAAAAACTTTAAATATTGTTTTGGCAAATAAGATGGTGTCCGTATATATACTGTTATTACAGCTCCTACTCGACCTGATGCTACTGAAATGTACTCCATGGTTTCACACACACAACGGGGGATTTTGTGAAACTGATATTGTTTATTCCGTCTGTATGTCGGAACGTATTATCAAGCTATAGACGGTAATGACGATAAACAACAGCTATCCCCTCATGATAATAATAGATGAATTTTGTTAGCGCTTTTACAGGTGCTCAAAGACGCTTTACAGATATAGTGAAAAGAAAAGAACAACAAATAAATATATATAGTTAAAGTCAAATTAAAATCAAGTAATACAAAAACAATCACACATTAAAAGCCAGATTGAAGAGGTGAGTTTTTGTAAGTTATGATACGTATAATTAACTGAGTGTACCATAATTATTCATTTGTGACCAAACCATAATCAAACAATTCATTCTGCGTCTGATGAGAAAACATATCTGTGTATTTTAGGCTTCCCTAAACCAGTGTATATTTTCTGTAAACTGTGTGGTCTTGTGTTCCTTGAGGGTTTTGGTACACATCCCCAACCTTGAATATAATGTCTTGCTTCTCTCGACTCACACCTCCTCCCACTCCCCACGGGCTCCATTGGCACGTCCACTCTCTACCAGCCATCAGCCTCGCCACATTGGGTGCCAGTGCCTTCTCCCAAGATGCATTTAAACCTTTGGAACTCACTACACTCCATTACAGAAGTAAAAACTGCTCTTGTAACCCATTTTGTATAGCTTACTCACTTAACTGAATCTTATTTTTTACTGCAACATTAATTTAAACTCTTTGCTGAGCTATATTGTTGCTTATTATATTGTAAGTTACTTTTGATTTCATGAATGTTTAATAACTAATCAGTCAAATATGATAAACAATATTAATATCAGGTACTAAACAATAATAGTTAATGATATTTGTTCCTTCTATTAGTAAATCCTAAAGTCCCTTATCTCCACTCAGAGAGCGGGTCAGGCCACGGTGGACTGCGCCACATGCAGAGCATCTCTTCCAGAGTCAGGGGCTATTTTAGGTGAGAGTGCACTTTTCAAGCACTAGCAAACCAGCGGGTTGGAAAAACAATCCGAGAATAGCAGATCTGCTGCATCTGGTTTCTGTCGTGACAAGCCCGCGATGGCGCTCCAGCTCTAGATGGAAGAAGCAGGCGTAGGAAGCTCAAATTCAAAGGCTTTACGATAGATTCATGTTAAATAATATGGTACGCTAAACTGTGCTATGAACCATGAATCAAGACACAGTGATTTATGATGGTATTATATCTCCGGAGACACGAGCATTAAGTCTGGCAGAGAAAGAAAATAGTTGGATAGGGATTCTATAGCCGAGAAAGTCACGAAGGTTAGATATGAATCATAAGTCACATTCTTGCATGTGAAATCACAGTTTGATGCGTCAGCTTTCTTTAAACGCTACATTTAAATGTACAGTATGTAAGGCATGCACTCTTTCTGTAAGCCCACAGGCCACAATCATTCACCACTTTAAAACAACGGCTTATTATCTTTATTTGAGTCAGGCAACGTGACTCATTTAGAATTCACTGACATTTGCAACTGTGTTTAATTCAATGCTAATATAGCTACTGAGAATTTCCCAAGCACTTCTTTCATATTCATGGCCAGTTCCCAATCTCTTACTAAATGATATCAAAGGGTGAAGAAGACACAACAACATCCATTCCCAAGAGAGGGGTCTGAATTGAGTCAGGAATAGGGGAGCACATGGATTCGGAAGATGTGCCCCTTCCTTATTTTGCACCTTTTAATATCCATGGTGAGTTAAACAGTTCATTTGGGTGTCCCTCTGTGAAAGCAGTGAAAATCAAAACACATCATGGTATAGTTAGTATTATTCAAGGTCTCAGGACCCTAAGGGGGGGTCTTCAAGGGGAATTGTGCACCCTCTCCATTAGGCCCCAAATTCATTCAGCAGAGCTGGAACTGAAGCTGAAGCTGAAGTCATACGTCTGTGTCTCCGAGCTCCCTGCAGTGAGACCCTGACTCTCTGACTGATGTGTTTGGATTGATGAGGTTAAAGAAGCACTGGTCCTCACCGAGGCTGCTGCTCTGTGAGTGCAGCTGGCTGGTGTGGGGTTGCAATGCAAGAGTACAGGACAGCAGAGGAATCAGATTTTTAGATTTCAGATAGAGTCGTGGGAGAAGGACCTCCAAGGCTTTGGCTTCTTATTACATCTATCTTTTTTTCTCAAATGCCCCCCCATGTCCACTGACCCCGAGCCAGATGTGGAACAACATTACTAATATCTACACTGGTTCACCCAATATGTCAGGTGGGGCCTCTTTAGCGAGAACTTTTCTCGCTGATGGCTAATGTGAAAATTACCCGGTCATAGTAATGTTTTTATTCCAGTGTGCAAGACAAAAAAAGAAAGATGAAGCAATCAGTTTTGGATATATGTAACGCAAAACGGGTTACCATAATAACATTTAAAGAGATTAGTGTGACAAGTCCCAGAGTGCAGGCTGAGCCTCACATGCTAGCCTTGACAAGGGGGTCCGACACAGAGTGGAGAGGTGAAGCCCAGTTCAGCAGCAGCTCTGCAGATAGAGAGTCTACTGATCCAAAATCCCTCACAGGTAAGGATCACAACATGAAGGAAGTGAAATGGACACAGTGGGTTTGAAAAAAGACATTACTTCATACAAATTTAATGTCAAGTTAAAAAAGAACAAAAAAAAAAATCTTTGTAGTTTCTCCGTGGATATGGCTCAAATGAGATTATCCTTGGACAGGAAAAGAGTTAGTGTATCTTTGGTGTGTGCATGCGAGCTGTAGCGAAAATGTAGGCGTGCAAAATCAATTTCAAAAAGTCGAGATTGCAGCAAGAACTACTACATGATTTCCAAGTCACGAGAGGCAACACATCAGAGGGAAAATGTATTAAGAGTTTCTGAATAAAGCATCTGGGGTTTGTGCAGTAAACCTTTGGCCTGCAGAAAGTAAATCCTTCAAATAAAAAATAAAAACATTATACCTAAAATAATAAATATTGTATTATCAACAGCAATACAGGCTCACTTGGCACCCATGCAGACATCCAGTCAGTCTGACGTGCCATGCTACCATTATTTCACTATGCTTCTCTTGGGTTGCCATGTGACTCTGCATTCCTGGGGTCTCCCAGGTTAGGTGTGTTAATGAGTTGCCGGCCGGGGGCTTCGGGCCAGTGCAGGGCCAGCGCCTCAACCACTCCAAAGCAAATAAACTGAGACCCATTCAACAAAACACATTGTTTTACACCAGTATCGCCGATACAAAAGTAAAACCTCAGAAGGTTTACATACTTTGTCTTCCTGGGACAGTGTTTAGGCAATAGCGTTTGTGTTGGAAGCCGTGTACATTGGAAGATTTTGTAACATAGGGCGGACGAGCTTGATGAGGGAGGGAGGAAATAACAACAGTGCATTTTTGGGTTATATATATATATCGGTACCTGTGAAGACATGAACAGGCCAGGTTGAGATGCTGGAGCAATAACCTCGGGCTGTCCCTCGAGCCACGAAATCTTCAAGGGGTTTTCACTCAGGCCACTTTCATTCATAGCTGCCAGCTCCTAAAAACACAGAGTAGTCAGTGAGTGCATCTTCGGATTGTTTCTGTACAACTATTTTATTCTCCTTGTTCTGAAAGCTGTTAAATGTGTCTATCTTACACCTGGGTATTATATAAATCCGAGAAACACATGTAGACACAGACAAAGGTGTATTGTAAAGTCTGAGACATGAAGATGGACAGACAGAGACCGCAGAACCTGTGCCCAGATCCCTGTAGACTGGCAGACATGTTCTCTGTAGGAAACCACATGTTGTGGGGAGGAAACCACAACAACAAAGTACACCATGTCGACAAAGGGCCTGAGGATCCAGACAGTGTGGAGAACAATGAAGCGGCTCAAGTTCTTCCGTCCTATGGTTCCCATCAGCAGAGGTTTCTATGCTACAGAATGACTAAAACATTAAGTTGAGGTTGCAGACACTGTGAGGCTGGGGAGTCTTTGACAGGTGTCTTATTTAGTAATATTCAAACTCAGTAGGTGACTCGAGAGGGGCAAGTGAGTTGTAAACAAATGTGGCTCTATGCAAATGTCTGCTGAGGGGAAGATTTCCATTATTGAACAAACAGAATGAGGACAATGTCCCAGAAGGGGTTAGGTACTTACAGCTGCTCGCACAGTCGCAAATTCAACCACAGCGCTTCCTTTCTTCTTACTCGATACAATCACATTCGACACGTCCCCATACTAGAGGTTAGAAATGGGAGAATAAAAGAAGAGGTCAAACAAAGGAAGAGGAGATGCAAAACATTCAAATCGGTATTTCCTTTCACGGCAAAACCCCAAACTATGAAAACACAAAGCATATGCAGCCTGAAAATACAACAGACTTCTGGAATAAATGTTAGGATTCAATATGTGTGTGGTTGTTAGAACTGATCTCTAATGATGGGTTTTGCATGTTTGGGGCCGAGCCAGTAATACTCTACAGAACATCGTGTACAAAGTGAGACGTCTGCCACTTCTCAAAAGAGACAAAAGGCAATATTGGATCATTTTAACTACTCCTTATGCAACGACTGTATTTGATCAACAATGTTTTTGGCATGAAGTTAGATGTGGCTCTCATCCAGTTTTATGCCACAAATCAGAACAGGGAGGAAAGGCAGGTCAAAAAGATGAGCGGGGCAAAGAGCATCTCAGACATTCCCTGATATTTGTCTGAGAGATATGGAGAGAGGAGGACGGATAGAAATGTCTTAGCAGGGAGACAAAAACCTGATCTCGACTGAAAAAATGCTATAAGCAGAGCAGCAGCACCATTTTTTAATTCCTCAGGATTGTATCACTTATAACCAACCTCTTCCAACCTAAAGCAGGGGCTTGGGAGCAGAGAGGAGGATGGCCTTGGAGAATCTCGTCCTGGAAAAATGAAGCTTTCTGGGAACAGGAAAGTCCAGGAATGCTAATGTCTACGAAAGACACTGGAGCAGGCCAACAGTGACAAAGGAGACTCTCAAAGGCCTCTGTTTCTTAGAATATTAATATCTTTAAATGTTTTTCCCCCCCGTTAAACTAAGAATTATTATTTGGAGCGGCCAAAATACACAAGTCCGGACACGTACGCATGCACAAGAACACACGTACCGTACTTTCCCACACAGTGGCGGCTATTTCTTGCCTAAAACATTAACTGTCAATCATTATAGCTTGCCATCCCAAACAAAACCTTTTCTAAAATGTATTCGCTTTTGCTTTTGAGAATTTAAAAAGAAACAACTTCCACAGTCTTTATTACGACACAGCCCTCCTGCCTGGAGCCGTATTGATGGGGTTCGTGCAGAGGAGAAATTCATACGCCCGTTTTCCAAACAGCTTTACGTCAGTGACACTTGCCCTATCCTCATTCCAGGCCAACCTATGCCCCCACTAAAAGGCCCTGTCACGAATCATGGCATAAGGAGGTACTGCGTTGCATGAGAAGAGCACATTTCCTAATGTATCCCTTGGCACTGCTTAATCACCTGGTAAGAGGGGCACAAGCGTGCATGGCTTTAAAAGGGCACTCCAACATTGCCCTCAGCACTTTCACTGCAACAAAACTTAATGGGCCTTGTTTAAGGGGAAGAGTAAAACAATCTACAGCGGTGAGGTCATGCAGACCTCAGATATGGCCGGACTCTGCAGGCGAGTTTGTTTCTCTGCTTGGATCAATTCAGGGATCAAATTCTATTATTTCTACAAATCTATTTCATTTTGCATTGCGATTAAGAAATAATTACTGAATTACTTCACTGAGAAATAATATCATTTAATACTCCGATGGGAATGTCTGTTTTTGGTTAATCCAGTAAAATAAATGGCTCACATTTTAAGTACTTCATCACATGCATGATGCAAAATTCTTGTAAAACAGTCATACTCATTAATTTACAACATTGCCTGCAAAGTCCTAGTGCAAATATATTAAAAAGGGATTGTTACCTCAGTTGCCTCGAGATATATTTCATTATATTACCTAGATTAAGTTTTAAGCTGGAAAATTGTGGAAGCACTAATTTGATTTTAAGAGGGTGTACCTTTTGTAGAAGTCTGAAAAGAATGTCTTGAGAGTAGCCTCCGTTCGTTTGGTCATCTTTTTTACACTTCCACTTCAGCTGCAAGAAGAAGAAGAAGAAGAAGAAGAAGAAGAAGAAGAAGAAGAAGAAGAAGAAGAAGAAGAAGAAGAAGAAGAAGAAGAAGTTAATCATCAGAACTTTGAAGAATTAAAGAGGTGCATGATAATGTGTAATCATTACAGCTCAATTGATTGGACTCAGCTGATGAAAAAGACAAAGTCTGCCAGGTAGGCTTGGCTGTGATGACACACCGATTACAATAACTAGGAGAACACACACATTGTTAGACTCTTGGAACATCTCTCTGGCACCACCTGTGAGACCTGCAGTCAATTTCCATTCATACCGAGCATGCCGGACAGCTAAAATGGCGGAAATTAACACGCAAAGACTTGGACCAGAAAATACACGGTTCTTAACTATAGCGCCGCAGACTGAAGCACAACACCAGACACAATAATGGCTACGTAATCAAAAACAGCTCGCCCTAGGTACAAGGTTGTTGTATTTGAACTGTGGTTCCCTTTTTCGATTGTGCAACAATGTCTCTTTAGCTAAGTCTTGATTATATTTATACTGTGCTGTGTAAATGTTGATTTTGAAACTATGTTCTGCTACTCCAATGAACAGCCTTAACAAAAGACAATGAGATCATCCATCAAATTGTTTTATTAGTTAAGAGTCCTTTCACTTAACACTGAAATCAGTTCCCATACAGAGATATTGTGTAACGTCTCGTATAACGAGTGTAACTGTTTGAAATGGGATATAAATGGCAAGCACTAGGTGTTGATTCAGCTCCAGCATTCTGCTCACTGTCAGAGAAACATGATTTCTGGGAATGACCCTGTCTAAGTAGACTTTTTAACCAACAATTAGTCAGTCTCCAGAACCCACTGATAACCCCTTTACTCATTGATCTTTGAATAAGATGTTTACGTTTGGGAATGATCGGATATCTGCGGTTTAAACCCCAACATAACACTAACTGATTACTTCAAATGTAAACAAATATACAGATAGGAGAGATTAAAGTGAAACCAAATGGCTGTTTCTCAAATAACTATCATAGGGACAAACGTTTTTGGGGATTCGCTTTAATTAAGTAATGAATAACAATCATTTGGTTGACCATCAATTGTCTAACAGAGTCAGATGTGTTTTTGATCTATAAATCCTGTTTAATCTTTAAGGATCAGTATTATATTGTATCAGAAAATGTAAGTCTTATTTTTGATCATCAACATAAGAAGAGCCAACATTCTCTGAGATATGTTGATGCAGTAGTGTTCCCATGTTCTTGAATGTGACCCGTGATGTAGTCCCTCATACTGCTGATGTTTGTTTTTCTAACTGTATACACAATGTTAGGGAATACACTGCTGCACTAGATGGCTATCAAATTTGAAAACCAGATTTAATGTCTAAACACATTAGCTAACGTCCCCAGAGTGTCCGTTAATATGCCGGGCTAGGCAGTTTCCAGGAGGAAATATAATAAGCCCTCTCTTGGCATCGTTACAGGCCTCCGGACGACTTTAGGCGCTCAGTGCTAAGACAGCGTATGTGGTCTCCAAATAATGAATTACAAATGTCAATGGTTTTATCAAAAATCTTTTCCGTTTTAATATGTTAGTCTCCAAGAAGCGCAAACCTCGTCCTGACCTCTCTTCCCCGGACTTAAAGCCCATTGTTGAAAAACGTACCTTCAATTTGGGGGTCACATTGGTTTTGGAACATCTCACCACTCCTGAGACTGAAAAAAAACCATAAGCGTCAAAGGGATGAGACAGTTAAGTGAAAATACAAGGAAACAATTGTTTTGACTTAGATGTGGAAACTGACTGTCCTATGGGAAATGTATGTCTCTTAGTGCAGTCTAATAATCCACTGAGTGCCTCTCGAGATGGTCCAGGCAGAGCACTTATTCAGCGGAGGGCTGGGAGGCCTGCCTGCGTGCAAATAGAGGAGAGTCAAAAGACGTGCTGACTATGCATGAGTAATTGTCCAGCCACAAAAAGAGCTCTACGTCTAGGGCCAAGAATCAGTAATTCCCTTAAATACCCACACTTCTATTCGTCTTATTTTACAAGCTTTTTTTCATGTCTCACTGAAGCTTAAAGCAAAAACCAAGAGGCATAAAGTTGGATGGACAAACATTGTGTGTGCGTGATGTTTGGCATTCTTTTATCACAATGCTATATTGTCTTACTGCCAAAAAACGTAGACATCTTGACAATGTAAAACATCCATTCAAATATATATATATAGATTTTTATGTGTATAATATTTGGAGAACCACCGGGAAGCTGGTGACCGCTAAGGTTGGATTGAGAGTATTATGGTTCATTCAGGCTAGTGTTCACTGGATCAAACTGGATTCATCCAGGGGAAAAAACAGGACTGCACTGAACTGTTTTGGATTACCTGGACTGACTGGACTAGGTTAAATCTTGGAGGTAGACATACTTGTGTAGCTTCCTGTCTGCTGTGTTTCTCTTTCTCTCTGGATCTGCTCTCTGATAAGCCTCTGTTCCTCCTCGAGCTGCCTGGATCCCTCCTCTCTCAAACGGGCTATCTGGTAGAAACAGACACAAACCATACCATAATAAGAACAGACATACAGCTTTGGAATGACAGTCAGTTAGCTCTTTCATTTATCACTTGTTTATAAGTTATCACCATAGATTGATTATATAAAAGGTCACCCCCTGTCCGTCTATCTCATTCTAAGACACCATTTCTGCTCATTTGAGATTTCCAGTACGGTGTGCAGACCTTATTTCTTCAGTTAAAGCAAAGAAGTCTTGAGATAAGAAAATGGAACAGTGCCACCTACTGGTTACCTCTTCCCCCAACATGGCACGTGGCCACATATTTACATGCATTAACACATTGAGCACACGCCATGACTCACCTAGGAGGCACGCACACCATTTTTATTTATTATTGGCTTCCCGAACAAAGTGTATCAAGTCATGCAATATCACCTAATGGGTTTCCTGATAATTATGATATGGCAGCAAAAAAAAAGCCTCTCAGATAAAGCCTTTGTTCCTGACCCAAGTCTTTTGAGGATATTAACTCAATCTGAAGGGAGTATTTGACGAAAAACAGAATAGAAAGCACCTGGGAGGAGTGCTTCAGAGTTTCCTGGATGAACTGGATAGCTTTTTCCCATTACAACGATAAGGACTGAAGTGTATTGATATTTGGTTCATCTCTCATATGGTTTCTCTTCATTCTCTTACCTCTTCTTCAAGTGTTCTAGTGTTAAAGGCCTCATCCTGAGTCTGAGCTTCTGCTTGTTGCTCTCTGGACTCCAAGTCTGTCAAAGCAAAATACAAACACACTCAAGTATCTTTTTACAACAAGCGAAAGAGACAAAACTGTGCAGCTACTTGTTGAATTTCATCCATGACAACCATGCAGCTTACCCAGCACTTTAAAATATAGTATCCCCTGTTAGAAAATAAGTAAATCATGAGCCTTGAGATGATGCAGGATATGGAAAGGGACTTACCGAGTTTTATTTTCTTCCTCTTATCATCTAGCTTCCTGTGTCTTTCTTCTGCTTGTTTCTTGGCAGCGCAGATCTTGTCATAGGCAGCCTGAAAACAGTGTTAGACATCAGGATGAAATCAAGTCTCTGTGTGAGTGTGAATCAGCATTGATGATGAGGTGAGAGGCATCCGCCGTATTACCTTGGCAGGAGCATCAGTTAGCACCTCGAGAGCCTGGGACAACTGGTGGAAGAGCTCCACTGGAAAAAAGTGGAAAAGTAAAAACATAAACATTCTGCTACTGGATGAACGTAGAAAGAAAAAAAGGTTTTAGTATATTTTCACAGGAACCAAAGTTTCGAACATGGAATAAGCAAATAAATGTAAATAAATTACACTAAGATATAACATTTGTTAATTAGATCACTTTGCACCTAAAACAAAAAGGGATAAAAAATAAGGTGGTTTGACATATAGAAAGTTGATTATACCAAAGGAGGCTTAATGTGCTCAACATTGCATCATAAAGCTGAAGCTGGGACAAAGGCCTGAGAAAAAAAAGGAGACATTTTTATGCTTTAAAAAAAGTGCCGTGTGCCTCACGAAACCAGTTTCCTCCGATGAGACGGACGTACATTCCCACACAAATCCTAGGCCTCTCCATCTATCTTCCATTAGAGCACCTCGAGGGGCCACTGCCGCAATCACCACTACCACGCAACACTCCACCTCCCCCAGTTGTCATCCAAAACACACACACACACAGAGAAATATACACAGAGAGACCACAATCCCACTCTCCATCATACAACCGCCACACTGCTGCACAATACTGGCCGGGCTTAATCATTCTCTGATGGGAGGCCTAACGGGCCGATACTGTTACTCCCTCTGGGGAGCGGCAGTGCACACTAACAGGAGGCTCTGGAGATCAGGCTGCCAGGAGAGGCGCTCGGGTTACCTACACGCATATAATGGCCTGGAAAGAAATCCAACTGGGGGAGACTTGCCATGCCCACTAGGCAGCTAGAGTGTCACAACATGGAGGGTTGAGGAAAGTGAAGAAATAGTATGGGGTTGTCTTCAGTCTGAGGAATCATGACCCCTAAGTCACCTCTTACATGCATACAAGCTTCCCCCTGACGAGCAGCAAATCCAGAGTCTTGCCTCTTTTTCGTGCGATAGAGACCGAGTTTGTCATGAGCGGGTTCAAGCGCTGAGGCCCTCCAAACCACTTCTTTTACATTTCTGGGAAACCGACCCCCTGCTTTTGTATTATCCCTCTCAACCCCCCAAACCACACCAATTTCCCAGTTTTTTTCTTCCTCCTGACATAATCAGGAATTGTCTGAACCATCCAGCAACCGCATAAGCCTCACTTGAAAACATGCCTCGTGATCAGTCTTTTGTCCAAGGTTTCCTTTTTTTCCCCCTTCCTCCCGACTAAGAGCTACGCTGAGATTTCCTGGTCTAATTGTAGACATGCTGGTTGGCGACAGGCGTGCAGAAGGACTCGAGCCAAAGAGGGATGGAGTGTGGAAACGCTGGTGGTGATGGTTGGGCTGCCGGTGTTTGGCTGGTCCCGTCTGGCTAGAAAGCCGGCGGGAGAGACAGGCGCTGGTTAGACGTCCCACAGAGAGCTGTGGCTAGGCCGTCTGGCCACAGACTTGATGAGAGCATGGTGGCCAGTCGGTCAGGCTGATTAACCCTATTCTTTAGAAAACAATGCAGAAATGGCATAAGCTTCTAATAGCTCTTGTTCCAGTTGAATAGGGTGACTGACAGAGAGATGAGCCTCAGAATTGGGAGAAGGTGAAAAGAAACACGCGTCAACACAATGACTACCGCACTCACCTGCTTTTGGGTTGTCTGGGTTCTTGTCTGGATGGCATGTCAAGGCTTTCTGTCGATAAGCTTTCTTGATCTAGGTGAAAAACAGAAGAAGCCCTAGAGTTATGAAGAGTGGAAAACGTTGATTAGGACACAAAGAGAAAGAATCATCCACTTAAGCACAGATTTTGGCCATGTGAAAGTTACATTCTTACTCTCAGTACCAATTATCTTTATCCTGTCGTCCTTGCCCCAGAAAACCAAAGTCTGAATTAAAAAGAAATGATGGCCCCATTGAAATAATGGCACAAGTGGTAACAGTCTGACATGAAAGCACTGGGGATTGGAATGTGGTCCGCGTTCAAATAAAAATCTGCGATAGTATTGTTTGAATCAAATCAACACCTGAGCTGATCCTCTGCTTCGTGTCCTTCTGATATGTTGCTAATGGAATCTAACCACCTCGGCACACAAAGTCAATTACTTGGACAAGAATTCCAAACTGTTCCCAGGCACGTTGCCAGCGTGCAAGATAAATGTGGCCTTAAGTTGCAGCCTAGTATTAGACCATCTTTATTCAAACGTTACAATAACATACACAAACAGAGTGCCATTGTCTATAACAAATCTGAGAAAGCTGCCATTAATATCTTAGGCAAGTAGCCAAAACTTTTGGGGGGTTCGGAGAACCAAAGGGGAAAAACTAAACAATACTTCGGAGTATTGTAATGTCATATGAGGTTTTAGTTATAGCTGATTTTTTAACCCTGGGTCACTGCTTGGAATTTTAACCATTCATTGGTCCTTCTAGGGACACGTTAATGACAAGGTGGTTTTCATTAGATCACTGTTCCTCTGGAGACAGAAGGGAAGCAGGGAAACTTTCCGTGGAGACCAGAGGGGGCTGTAGAGCGTGGCGCTGAAGCTTTCAAAACCTCAAAAACACACGCTCGCATGTATGCATTGCATGCTAAGAACTTGGCACATATAGCCCCCCTATATCCAAACTCAGACACGAGCACACATACTGACATTCATTTCTCACCAGTTTTAATCAGCCATGCCAACGTTCTGCACGTTTTCAAACACCCCCCTTTGAGCAAATCAATCTCCCGCCAGCATTCTACGGGCCACAGAACTTGGGAGCTACTTTCTTCGTGTCTGGGAAACGTTTGCATTGGACGCCTTGTCCTCTGGCATACGTAATGTTTCCCTGAGTGTTGTTTTGCACAATTTTATCTTAAGAGTGAACGCCAAAACATACAGACTTAACTTAACATAGCTTAACAGGGGGGAAAACAAAACTGTGAGGGAACCGAACAGAATGGTGTAATCCATCAGTGTCCAAGCATTCTTCAACAGCAACTCCAATGAGTCTCCATGACAGTCAATTAAGGAATATTACACCCACACCGCATGCCAATTTTCCAAAGTACAAGAGGTAAGACTGTACTTGATCACAAGAAGGCAACAAGCCCCCGGTGAACCCTTCGGAGTTTACCAGGGGCTTGTTGCAGGAAATTAGAACTTAAACCTAAGTTCAAACGTAACATCATTCATCCCTATACAGGTGAATGATGGTGTTCATTTATGGAACCAAGATTAAGTAAAAAGGCAAGAATAGGTCATTAAAGCCATTGCATCCTGAGCAATGGCTAGGTGGTGAGAACAGTTGGAGAACTCCATTCCTTATATGGCCCAATCAGTTCTTTGAGAATGAAAGTCTGCTTCACAAAAAGACTATACAATTGTAGGTCTTTGACTAAAATTGTGTTTTCTGCCCTTGCTCAAAGCAGTTATTGGTTTCCAGTCATTTCAAATCTATTTCATCTTATTGAATTGCTTATTATTCCATAAAACTTGCTTGAGTTGTGCAGTCCATCACAGTGCAGTTTAAGTGCATATTGATACAAAAAGGCCACAGTTCCTTACCTCACAACCAAAATATAAATTTGGCAAAACCTGCAACCTAATGCAAACTTCTATGCATTACACAGGTAAGCAAGTTTAGAAAGGGTAGAACCAATGTTTGGCGTAAAATAGTAGAAAGATACATTCATATTTCCAAAACAGAGCAACACAGTTTGCAGCTGTGAAGTTAAGTTGATGACGTGATTTGAGATAAAAGGGGCATAAATATCACTGCTATGTTCCTCTAAGAGCTCCTCATACCGTGTCCTCCTCATGTCACACTTTCATCTACTTCTCATGTAATTTATCACCTCCAGCCAGCTGACAAGAAAAACACATCTCCGCTGAAAGCTGAGCAGATGTTTGACATTGTCGGGACAAAATTCTGGTTGGCTGAGCTGTTTGACAAGGAAATACTGTCATCGATTTGTTGAAGAGCGGCGATGTATCGTGTCATCACCTTTGTCTCACTGAGTTCACTTACAGACGTAGTTAACACACATACTTCTCTAAACTGCAGCTAATTATCCTACCGCCTTTTCTCCCCATCTCTTCCTCTTCCCTTTTTCTTTTTCACTTTGTCTAGCATCGTCCAAGATATCTCGTCTCTACTGAGCCTCCAGAGCAGTTTTGTTAAATAATACATGATTACTCCCATCAATGCTGTCACACGCAAGCCTTAATTGATGCTGGAAGACCCTGAAGCCGTTTGGTCCTACTAAATATAAGCCAAAGCGGGCCAACTTTTGAAGAATCTAGCACATGTGCGGATAAGAGCTCTCAGATCGAGTGGCATCCTCCTGCAGGACTAATGCAGTCAATTACTGTCGCAATTATCTGTGTGCATTTCACCATGACCTTTTAGATGTTGGCTCCTAAATCAATTATGAGTGAGACTGTGTGAAAAGAAACCCAGAAGAACTTCTGGCCCGAAACCAACTGCTGTCCCATGTACTTTTTGCTGTGTCTTCATTTGCTTTTTTTAAATTATTCTAGGCTGTCACATGCTCAGTTTCCTTGTCTTAAGCACAAGACAAACTAAATGACAAACAATCTCAACTATTTCACACGATTCAGTTAGCAAAAAGAGGAACCACAGAAAGACTCCTATTGTGCAGCAACAGTCAAACAGTAGCCCCAATGGTTAGTGCCGACGAAAAACAGACTGCGTGTGCCTCCCTGATCCCTGACTGCCACAGCAACTGCAGGCCCACATCTTGTCCTCATTACACCAGGTTTTGGTGGCAATTACAGTTGACAAACTGGTCCTAGAGCAGCCTCGTCACAACCCTGGTGGGGCCCCTAGCCCGTGAGGCCTGATCTGCCATGGGCCCATCCTCCTTAATTACAACGCTCTGTATTTATGGGACATTATCAGCTGGAGGAAAATAATAAAAAGGCACAACAGGAAAAAGTAAAGAAGAGGAGCAATGAGAGGGGCACAGAGGGCATGGCCACACAGGAAAGAAGAACTAAAAGTAAGAATAAAAAACTGATTTCATGAAGAGAAACCGAAAACACTGTAATTAACTTTCTAAGTGCATATGCGCTTGAAACTGACCAAACCTCTAGGGATCCAATAACGATCTGGCCAATACTCACTCTCTGCCGATCGATCGGTGCTCTCTAAAAATGCCGATCGTGAGAGCCGATCGAATTACGTAATATTATGACGTAAAATACATGACACTTTTCTCTGTGCGCGGCAAAACAAGCTCGCCAAAATGGCTTCACCAGTCTGGCAGTATTTTAAGGTGTCCGACAATGACAATAAAATAGTGGTAGGCTATGCAACGTGTGTGAAGCAGAAATCCTGCAGCTCCACCCGCTGTGACGGACCGGTGAGCGGAGCAAAACGCAGTTATGCAGCGTCCACACGGCGGCGTGCGTTGAAGCTTGCCAGCGGGCATGTCTGAAACTCGACCAACAACCACATGAATCTCCCGCCCCGGACACACAAGCACACAGTTTGATTGGCTAGAGCTTGTACTGGCATATGATTCGATTGGCTGGCGCTTCCGTCGAAGCTTCAAAAGTTGAACATTGCTCAACTTTTGAAGCGAGCAACGCAAGCGACCCACAATGCAGTTCGGCAAAGTGTGACGTCACCCCCATTCAAAGTGAATGGGCAGAATCGTTGAAGCTTCAACGCACGCCGCCGTGTGGA